GTCAATTAGTCAACAACGCTATCAATCGGTCAATAAAAATTCACTCGGTATATACTCGGTATATACACACAATCAACGTCCCCGTATTAATAGATGTAAGTCTTATAAATGAATTATAATCATCTAAATATACATTGATTTAAATTTTGTAATATCCTTATATAGAAAAGTACACATACCTACAATAAAGTATACAAGTCTTTTGCAAAATAATTTAAAGTATATATATGTTGTTATTGTAATTATTACAAATTATTAATAATATTTTCATCTACTTCTATATTAATTATTTTAAACATTCATATTTGATTAATCTGACACGTTTAAGAATTAAGAATTTGATTTATGAATATAGAATAAGTTATTTTTCATTTTTTCATAATTATTAAAAAAAATAATAATAATTCTATATCCTTATATTATAAGTTATTTTTTAAATTACAGAAGTTTTTCATGATAACAAATTTTTATTTCTCAGGTTTGAGTGATTATTTGAAAATTTTCAAAATCTTTGCTATAAATTAAAATTAATATGTGAATAGGCAAATTATGATTAATTATTTAACAGTTTATAAATTAATTTTCCGTTTCTAATTGGATTGAATCTGTATTACTATTATAACACATATATTGCAAAACTTTTCTCACCTGCAGCTATATAAATGCCAGCAATCTATTAATGTTTCATTTATTCTCTCTCATTTTGTGGTTGTTGATTGTTTAATGAGCTTACTATAACTAATAATTTAAAATGATTCTTTCTGATAGCCATTTATTTATTGGAAAATATATACAACTTAATATTTTTTACCTTAAAGATAAAAGATAAAAATATGTAAGGAAATCGATTGTTCCTGGAATAATATTATAGAAAATATTTTTAGATTTTGAGAGTAGATAAATTTGACTCAGATGTTATTTAATTTTAACAATTAAAATTGATATAATTGTGTGATTAAAGGTTTCCAGATTTGTAAAAGCACTTCAATTCTAATTATAATTCAAAGTAAAACAGTTAATAAGAGTTTTCGTGCATTTTACCGAATTTACATACAGTAAATAAACAAAAATTTATTTATGAATACATTACATTCTCATTTATACAGTTACACTTAACTCACACGAGAATAGATACATATCGCCGAATAAAGTGTAGACAAGTGTACGACTCACAATCAGGATAAGGGTGTGGAGAAGAGAATAAAAAAGAAGCAAAGCAGAAAAAAAAATCCAGAGATTCTGCGCAGCACCTAGCGACATTCCGCATTGACACTAGAAAGAAAAGAATCATCGAGGCCGACTGGTTCACTAAACCACTCCCATCACAGTCAACGCAACTTCCCTTCCTTCGTTACTGATTCTTGCTCATGGGCGAGAGATGATGACACGGCGCAACGAATGTCAATCGAAAAAAATATACACTGATGGCATTTTTATCCCACATCGACAAATTTATTAACTTTTTTTTAATGATCATACACAAACTTAAAACTGAATAATCTCATAAAACCAAATAAATACAAGTAAATAGAACAATGTTGCCTATTATTCATGTTTATATATTTTAGATCTCCCACGAGGAAAGTTGTTAATTTATAATGTATTGATTGCTCATGTATCTTATACCTTACTTAGTTCTAAATATGAAAATTTTATTGCAAGCACGATGTTTCTTTCCTCTCTTTATATTTTTAAAAGCGATTTTCGAACTCATACATAAGTAATATTTAAAAATGAAATGAAAAAATATATTACTATATATATAATGGAAACCTCAATTTTAATGTTTTTCTATATTTTTATATATCTAGAATTAAAAGGATATTTTAATGAAATAATTCTTGAATTCGACAAGGTTGCACATTAATTATATTGCACACGTTTTACTATAATACTGTTAGTCATAAATAGCAATATGTGATACATTGCTCTCCTGTATTATCACATCAGGATTATTTTAAATGATTAAAGGATGACGTATAAATTTTAATTTTGCAACAAATAAATAATTATAAATTTATACATATTCATGAAGGTCAGTGGCAGATATTTATTTTTTACTTTATTATAATTAATCACTATTATTTAATTTAACCTTTTATTATTGACTATTTATATAAGATACAAATTTTTATGTTGCTTGCGCCGTTGTATGACTAATTTTTTTTCAATAGTCACTACTAAAGCATAGCATATCTTACCGTCTGAAGTAATACTATGCTGCTGAGTCGACAAATTCTGTATAATAGATATAATAGGTAACCAAATCACTAATAACAGGTAACATAATATGATTGAGTATCAGAAAAAAATGACACTGATTAAATTGATTATTATATAAGTAACAATTCCTTTTTACGATATGCATAATACACTCATAATTCCTACGATTTGTGGTGATACTATGTAATATATTAATTTAATTACATATATGAAAACCAAATAAGCAGAAAAATATGATGTCCAGAAATGTTACTTCCACAAACATTAATCCATAATAATAAAATGAAGCAACATACCTATTAACTACAAATGAACCACTAAATATTGAACGGTCATGATTGGAGAAAAATGTCAAGGATGAATTAAAAAAAAATTAATATATTTTGCAGGACACTCTTTTTGACAAGAAAAAGTTGCTCGCCAGAGCATGGAAAGTAGTATACAGCGTAATCGATTTTCCTGAGGCGTTGCCTGGAGACTGAAGAGAACAATTTGGGAAGCCCCGTCGTTCGTGGTCCGATCGAACAATAATTGAGTCCATTCTATCGTAAGACTTCTTCACGCTTACTTCTTACTTTACTCTCACTCCCTCATAGGTACTACTTTATAGGAATAGATTTTTACAATGAAAATGAATGCAACAAATTCAAATATAAAAAATATTATTTGCAAACATAATATAGCTGCATAAATGACCACAAAAACTTGATTTTATTCATTTCATAAAGATTAAATTAATTGCATACAATAATTCTAATTTCAATGCACAAATAACAAATCTCATTAATTATCATGATTAAAAATAAAATATTAAATACATTTTTCTAAATGTATTTAATAAAAATATATTTATTACGTTGATGATCGTCTAATTTACAAAAAAGACGCTATAAGCATACATATCATTATGAGTTTCTTGCTATATATAAAAACGACATCAATAATACATTAATTTACCATCTAATTTTTTTACCTAAATTCACCCTGTATGTAGAACAGATATTGTTCATTTGTAATCCAAAGCTAGATCTTTTTAAAAACATCCGAATACACACTGACGACGGCCTAAAGACTCAAAAAAACATACGGAAAAATTAATAAAAGCTTACATTTCAAGTTTATTTTAACAATCTATAAATAAAAGTGACTTAGTACATCTATTTATCTATTATATCGATATTAAATATTATGTATTTGAGTATATCTAAATAAATACAAAAAATAAATAAATAAATTGAGTAAATTAATTTATCTTATTACTTCTGTAAATATGTTTTAAATGAAAAAAATTAATAAATAAATAAATAATCGGACAAACCACTATTAAAAATGCTGGTGGCTAACTGAAATAGAATTCTGACTTTTTTCGTATAACCGTATATCGTTCGTTGATCGCTATAACTCATAAGCTACTTGCATGCCATTTTATGACTTTAACAATATTTTTTTCTTTTTCACTGAAAAATATATACTTTACCACTTGAATAAACAATATATAAAAAGTATCAATGCTAATTAAAGATACCCATATGTTATAATAAATGTACATTATATAATCCTAAAAAATTTTAATCATAAGTAATGTTAAACTTTCAATAAATTATGTTAATTCCATGAAAATATTATTTAAATATTAACAAAAACATTATTATAAAATGATTTAAAATTTGAGAATTCCAATGACTGGAATCTTCAATGTTGTTCTTTATCAAATTCTGAATCTAGATTTATCTAATCTCTGTAATTTAATTTAACTTTATATAATACATATAAATAAATTATATTAAAAGTGTAATAAAGGATAACTATATTAATTTAGAATATTCGTTTTTATCTTACAAATCTTTAACTAATATGTAACAAACTTATAATGAACGTGAAATGTTTAATATAGCAATTAAAATGTATGTTAGAAATATTCTTATATAACGATATTTCTTATTATACATTACGATAATATTTGAATTTAAAAGAAAATTTAGTTTTCTTGAATAAATAATTATAATAGAATATTGCGGGACATTAAATTAAAATTAACATATCTTTCTAAAGAGTTCAAATATCGCATGTGCTCGTACCAATTGCTATATGTAAAAGGTAATTTAATATAATAGTCTGCTTAAGAGTTTGTGAAAGGTTTTGATGTTATTAAAAAGAGAAATATATAGCTTAGTATAGAAACGAACCAGAAGGAGTTTGGCGCATTTGATCGCGAAGCTAGCGTGGGAGTGGCAAAAGGAAAGAAAGAATACGAAGAAGATTCGGAAAAAGGGAACCACTTAGCCGAAAACTATAAGAGTCTGAAAGTCAATAGCTATTGGACAGACGTCAGAGGCGCCAGTGAACTACCTTAAACTCCCATTCTCTAAAAATGTCACAAAAATTATAATGTTGCAGGCAACTGAAAGAAAAGTAAGCTTTGTATGTGAACCTTTTTCCCTTTGTCTCTGCCACCTCTAACTCTCTCCTCTTATGCCTCTTTTCTTTTTTCCATTTTAACCACACACCTCTTTTTATCTCTTCTTTAAGAACTACCTAGTATTTTAAACGAATAAACTCATTTTCTCCAATGGTTAAGGAACTCTGAAAGCAAGAATAGAATATATTTTTCAACCTTCTCCAGACCCTTAATTTAAAATATAGAATATAGCGAAAGCATTACAATAAATCAATAATCATCAATTGAAATAAGCGAGGATGAATATTTGTTGAGAACATCATTAGTCGAGTAAATACGAAACCAAATAAAAGTGGTGATAAAGTATGGTTACCGGCAGGCCTTAATCTGGCTAAGTCGTACGATGTTGGCTGCTCGCTCGACAAGGGCGGTGTCGAGGGCAGTGGAAACCACTGCTAGTGAACCCAAGAAGGTGACGCCGCCGGAGTGGCAGCGTTAGTTGATGCGTAGACAGCTGCGGCAGAGGCAGCATTGTTTGCAACTCCAGCTACGTTGCTCGTCGCTACCTGGTGCGTTGTTTCTGCTAGTTGCTCAATCGCCCCAACGCACTCGGATGTTGGGACACCACCGGTGCCTCCCACCCCTAGACCCATCGAACTCTGCTGGAAGTTTATATCAAGAGTCCCATTTATCAAAAGCTCGTGCTTTATTACCTGTGAACACACGAATGTTTACCTTCGTTACTTTTTTCTCTTGCTAACCGAGGGATAACTGGGACGCCCTCAATTCTATCATTGGAATGTCGCTTGCAATTTCTTTTAGTTTTTTATATTAATAATAATTATATCATTCCTTGTATACGTCCATCTACCCTTTACAATTGTTATACGAATCTCGGCTCATTTTCATTACTCATTAGAATAATTTTTGCACTGACAAGATAGATGTTACTCAATTGCAAATGACTTTGTACAAGTAATGTATAAGCGTTTAAATCTGTATAGGCTAGCAATAATAATTTCATAATTTCTTCAATGTATTTGTTGATTATCAATATTAAAACCAAAAAAAATATTTTGTAGGTCTTACTTCATCGATATCACAATCAAAGCCGTGCAATGTTTCAATATTGATGTTTAGATCATCGAGCAGAGCAGTATTATTAAGTGCCCCCATCAATTGCCCCATCATTGTGCTGGGAATAGGCGACTCGGGTGAACTGCTTCCACTTGGCACCTGGGGCTGTACCTGAGCAGTCGGTGTCTGTTGCTGAGAATGAGGCTGCTGATGCGATTTCTGTTGATCCGGCTGCTGCTGTTGCATGAGGTACTGATGGATTGTTTGTTGCTGACTGGATAACGATGGACTTGGTTCCCTCTGCTGATACGATGGTGATATGTTCGATACAAGATTGATGTTTTGCTGCAGCAATTATTCAAATAAATTTTCATGAAAATAAGATCTCATGATCACTTCGAATATTTATATATAATATCTAAATAAATTTTCAATTAGGGTACGAGAAATAAATAATAATTAATAATGGAAAATAATAAATTCCACAATTAATTGAAATCAATTTATATAGGAAACGATTTAAATTAAGATCAACAAATATGAGATATAAATACAAATATTTATAGAAATATCTAACAAAAGAATATTTTTATTTTTATCTTAAAATTTTATGCCTCCATTCAACAATTAAAATATCTCATAATGAAAATTTTAAAACCTTTTTATCAATAAACAAATATAATTGAATATATTTTATGGTATATGACAATAATGATATATTGATATATACTGACTAGCCATTAAAATAAATAGTAAAGTAATAAGAATAAATGTAAAGGGATTTACATAAAGAACTAACCATTTGGCAAGCACAAGGTTGCAAACGGTGCAGCGAACATCTGGTCGAATTTGTTGGCTGTGAAGTTGGTGGCAATCCATATGACGAAGAAGCAGTTCTTAGAGTATTGCTTCTTTGATATTGAGCTTCAAAGTAGGAAGGCGGAGGACCGGATTGTTGCTGATGGCTCGATGGCGACGTCTGGTATATTTGATAGGCTGGGACGAGCTTCATCGTTTCTGCCAGACTCCCAGCTACAAGTACCATTAAAATCATTCTAATTATTATTTGGATCAAGATTATTATGAGACGAATTTCGTAAAAAAAAAAGTTCATTAGGTTGTATACGACTGGATTTAAAAGTTTAGTGCGATTGCAAATAAAGACAATGACTTACCAAGTTGCTCCGGGCTATAGGAAGAAGCGTAATTTGTTGTCCACTCGGGTTCACCAAGAACGGCTGGTATAGGACTCAATCTTCCGCAGGACGAAGCATTACTCGAGGCTCGAGGGCTAGATAAATAAAAGAAAGATTGGGCTTTACCAAGCGTGGCAAATCTCAATGAAAATCTAAAGAAGTGATAATGTCGCTAGAACGTACCGAAAATCTGGTGATAACTGGAAGTTGCTGGTGGGATGTAAGGGACTGTCAGGGAATAGGTCAAGACCTTCGCTGACACTGCTACTTGGACTGGGCGTCGCATCTGCCTGCAAGTTTCCATTTCTCAATGCCTCCACCTTCTTCTTTACTCGACCGCGTCGCTTCTCAAATTTACTTGTCTCCATTGACGTTGCTCTATGCAATAAACATTTTCCGTCAATATAAAGAGCACATTATTATCCAAATTTAAATCCGCATATTATTAAATATTATATGCAATCATATTACCTTCGTCGAGCCGACTTTCCTGGCTTTGCGTCAGGGTTGATCATCCACCAAGAACTTTTACCGGTCCCTTCATTTTGTACCCGCATGAAGCGATTGTGTAATGATAAATTGTGTCGGATTGAATTCTGAAACAATATACGAATACATACACACACACACACACATACAAAAAATATATATATATATGCATATATATTCGCATATACATATACATACATACATTAATTTTTGTTGATAACAGATAATAAATCGTTACACTACTTTATAATATTTGCCCAATGTTCAAGAAAAATCAACCAAAATATTTGAAATCTTAGTTTTATCTTTTTTATAATTTGTTCTTGGATTTTTTTTATTAAGTGAATAAAATACAAAACAGAGTGTGAAAAAATATATAAACAATTTTATATAAAATACTACAAGATTATTAATATTTATAATCATTATTTAATACTTATCTATACGATTTCTATACATCGGCGGATATATACTTGCACACGTAAGTGTGCACGTAAATGTAGAGCTATAAATTTAAATGTTATTCCTATTTTCTCTCAGATTACTTAAAAATTGTAAAAATTTTACAGATTCCTTGAATGCTGTATTGTCTTTATAATACTATGAAGAATAAGATATCGTAATAATTGAAATAAATATGTCCATTGAGTCAATTGATAAAGTAGAACTGCATTAATAAAGTAGAATATCTACGCGAGGAAGATGCTTGAAGTATACGAAAAAAAAATTAATTAGAAGATGAGTTAAGCTTTAATTGGTTTTAGATATTTTTTTACCTTTTTTTCATTCTTTAGTTCAAATATAACTTTTTACTCTGAATAAGCTTTAAAAAACAATTGCGATAATCCAGATCGCGCACGCACACATGCAGTGGAACAAGGGCTACAAAGCCAAATATATGTAAATATAATAGATCACTTTCATGGTTACATGGTTCCACGGCAATCATAAAGTGGACAACGAGAAAAAGGCGATTGACCGTTCGCTCGCTAAGTTTTAACTACTATTCTACATTCCCGTTGCCAATTATTGCAAAAGTTGCTTTTCTTAATACTGCCAAAAACCTACAAATTAATTTTTTTCAAAACTCACAACAATTTCTACATTTTTATCAATCACATAAATTCATAATACTTAAAAATGATTTTTTTTTAATTATCATTAATCTAATTAAATATTATAGTTCACAAAAGTTATGAAAACTTCATATTATTACAAAAAGTGTCATTTTAATATTGAACGTTCTATTTTAAAATAAATTAAAAAACTGAATATAAAATATATTTATTAGAATTTTGTATTTAATATATTTATTCAATATGTTAAATCTCTTTTTTATTAGAACATTGATAATTTCATTAGAAATAGATTATTTTTAGACTATAACTATTTGAAAGAAAATAGTCTCTCTTAATTTAAATTGATAGGCGGAAAGTATCTACTGATATTATTGAAAAAATTAACTCTATCATTATTAATAAGTCCTGCTTGTAGTAAACATTTTATTAGTTGATATTTTAGACTTAATAATTAGATATTACAACTAATATTAGGCGATTATTTTTAAAATATACGTATTTTTAATAAATATTTCTTCTTTTCAAAACTTTCAAATACTACATGACATATTATAAAATCTCAGACATTTCAATTTATACAATAAATACGATAATATTAAAATTATAATGTTAATCGTATAAATTAAAAAACATAACATATAAGATATCAATGAAGAAATTTCGAAATATTTTTACATAAAGTTTATATAATAATTCAAATATAGTTGTGAAATATAGTTAAAATATAGTTTTCTAGAAAAAATAATAATTTTGAGACTGTAGGAATTTGAACTTTTAATCAAAATATGATGATCTACATTACCGGAAGTTTTTATTAGAAAATTCTATTAATATTCAGTCACATAACAAATGATTACTTTTTAAATTTGATTTATTAAAATTTTGATTTGTCAGCATGTATTCATATTTGAATAATTGCAACAAACAAAATTTTAACCTATTACAATTTAATGCGAATAATTTGTGTACATATTTAGTCTAGTTACATATATTTATCAAACAATGAACGAAAAAAGGGTACAAAATTTTAATACTTATGATTAATAATTCATTTCTAATCCCAAATTAATAGCATTAAAGCAATATAAAACTTATTCTTTAAAATTAAATTGTTAGAAATTTACAAAATATTTATATGTTCTGTATTACCTCCTCGGTTGTTTCTAAATTTAACGCTAAACTTTGTAAACCTTATCTTTGATTTTATGAAAGATACTTCAATTTATATGAATTTATAAAAATACATCAAATTACATTATAAATATTTTATTATCTAACATCGAACATATAAGATAGTGCAAGATTTAGCATTACAGCCATGATACTACAAAAAAAATAGGAGAGAAATGTTGATAGATAGTAGAAAAAACAGAAAGTTTTGAGTTTCTTCTTTTGAGAATACATAACACTATTTATTAATATTAATTTATACTTTTTTCAATAATTTATATAGTCAAATTAAACTCTAAATTTACGAAACAGACAACTCACTTTTAAATTATTCTTTAAAATTATATATCTAGTTCTGAATGGTTATATCATCATTAATGTGTATTTTCGGCAATTATCAAATATGCATAAAATATATAAAATTCAAAAGTTTGGTTTTATAAATATGAAACAATGTAAATATCTCTATAACTATCTGCAATTTTATTTTTAATAACAAAGAAACGAAAAAGATTTTTGGAAGTTTTATAACCTTAAATACACTATTGGACGTAATGAATGTTCACTGATTATTTAAATAAAATGGCACAGAAGTAGATGGCGCTACCTTATTAATGCAAGATTTAGTTATCATTGAGTACGATAACAATATTTAATTTCACATTTATATAATAAACTAGATTCTAATTACAATACCGAATTAATTTTTCTTCGTGATTCGGACAAATTTTATTCAAATAAATAAAATACAATCTTCATATTATGTATTTATATTTTTTAAAAATATATAAATTTATGATAATTTTATATTTATTGAAATAGTTATACAAATATTATTTAGCATTATACAGATAAATTAGTCAGTCCATCTGTACGTAAATAATTTTTTCTTTTTGATGTTCAATTAAAATTAATTCACTAAAAATCTTCATTATTTATTATCACTTATATTCTTTTAATTGCAGTAACTAATTATGTTCTGCACTTGTTATGATTCTTCTGAGATGCATTTTTTTAACTCATTATTTTATTAAAAGGTCGATCTTGATAAAATGCAACGAAGTATAAAAATTCTAAAATTAAAACATTTGTTTATATTTTACAAATTTTTTAATATATATATATGCATATATATATATATATATATGTGTGTGTGTGTGTGTATGTATGCTGTATATAAATAGCGTTATATTGTATTTTTAACATTAATTTAGAAAAACAGCTTATTTTTATTTTAATTTTTTTTTTAAATTTTAATTCAGAATAAATTTTAAGAATATCTGATGCATATTTTAAATGCTTAATATTGTAAAATAAAAATTTGCATTAAAAATTAATTTGCTTGAAAAAATAAAAATCTATACTATTTACTTGGTTGGGATAATCAAATTATTACTATTTATATAAAAGTATGTATGTAAAAATATTACAAAAATAAAACTGTACCCTGGACTTTAAAGATAAGCAATATCTAAGTTCAAGAACATTAATTTTTACTACTTAGTTTTTTTTATAATTTATTAAATTGTAAAACTTTGTACTAATCTGTACTTTCAAATATACTATTTTTTTATTATAACAAAATTAATTTTTCTCAATTATAAAAATATTTGTAATTATTATTATAATTAATATTAAAATATATTGACCATAATATTGCCAGCTATTTTAAATGAATATCAAAGAATTCATTATGCTATAGAACAAGGGAATTAATGTTTAAACGGCTGAGGAATTTAAAACTTAAAAAACTATGCAGATACGTTGATTTAATATCTTCAATCACTCTAAAAATTACCATTTATAAAATTCATATTAAAACAATACTACAATCTGAATGCTAAAAATGATCTTATTCAGAATAGGTAATTAATTGTTCAAATAAAAAAAATTATTATTAATGTTAAATATTTATGAGAATTTCAATATGTTTATTCCATTGATAATTTATGGATTGTTTCAAATATAATATTAAAAATAAACTCATCTAATCAAATTATTATTATTATGATATATTATTATATATATGCAATTAAAATTTCCATAAATTTATTGTAAAATCTAATTTAGTATCTAAAACCTATTATTTTGACATTAATATTTCAATTTCATACTTTAAAAGTATTTATTTAACAATCCTTAATAATATAGAATTAAAACTCAATAGGATATAAATTTTTTGATGAAAATATACATAAATAAGACCGTATATTTTAGATTAATATTTTTATGCAAAAAATTAAATTTAAAAACGAATACTCAATATATATATAGAGGATTTTAGTGTTGTCAAAATAATAAAAATTGACCGCAATAATAAACCTTTATCGCATAACGATTATCATGTTTTTTTTTGTAACACGGAAGGAAGTGGAAAGTCTATATGTTAACTCATAATAGACATGTACTAACACGAATATCTACGGACGTGGTTTTTGTCTTCTCATCATAGACCGCATCCTATGTTCGTACAGATTGTCCGTCTGAGCTAGCGGGCTTATCATTTTTCGCATCACATCGTTACTATTTTATTAATAACATATTTTAATTCTTCCTTTATATTTTACTTTATCGTAAATATAATTTAATTTTCATCTCATTCATATATTAATTTACAGGAAGAGTTCTCTTCGTATTTGTATTAGTTTAATAAGAAAATAATTTATGTAGGATTATAAACATTTTATTTAAGATATGCGTAATGACAGAAATTTATTTGTGTTGATTGATTGTAAAACTGGAGGAAATTTTAGTAAAATAATTAATATGTATAGATCATGAAGAAAATGGTTTTTATATTTTTGCTAAGAAAGAGATTGCAGAAAAGTTGTCAATGAAAATTACGTGACAACTACTCG